ATGAAGTCATGTGACGTCATACTAAAACCAACATTGCGGCCGCCCTAAGATGGCGAATTGCCTATTTCTGTACAACCTCCTTAATATGGGTATGAAATGAAAGGGTTTGACGAGTAGAAAAGGAAAAGGTGTGTAAAAAAAGTATTCCAATTTTTTAAACAAGTTAAAATTTTTGGAAAATTCTATTTTTTCACAACCTCCTTGACATGAATATCAAATCAAAGGGTTTGTCAAGTAGAATTCGTAATTCATTCTAATTTTAAGAGGATATATCTATCAAATTAACTACATAACTTAATTTTAAGACTAAAAAGTAAAAAATAAATATTATATTTTAGTTAAAAAAAACTAAAAAGTATAAAATAATTTACTTAAAATATTTGGAGCTATTAATGAACTTTTCACTTCTAAATGTTCAATGACTATTCCAAAAAGAGTCATTCCAAATAAAAACACCAAATGGGGTGCGCTGCGTGATTTTTTATTTTGATGAAAAAATTTGAGGATGATCTTTTAAGTGTCAAATATGAAAATCCGTTGCCGTTTTAATTTTTTGTTGCTTTACTTTTATTTGGCACCCCTTAGAAGTCTGAAATAGTGTCAATTTCTTACTCTCTTATAGTGGGCCAGAACTTTTTTTCTGTGACAAATATTGAAATAATTTTAATTTTGTTTTACTGTCCAGTAAGTGTGTTTTCGATATAAATTATTATTATCCAATTAGTTAATCTCATAAAAGAATGGTAAACCACTAAAGATTCATGATAATTTGCCAATTTTTGTGATTTTTGTCTGACTCCTGTGCCTATTCTACTGAATTTAGAAGGTTCATTTTTTTCAGGTATAAAGTACTTATACAATAGAAAACGTAACTATTATTTTAAGTTTCTAGACTATCAATTTCTTTATTAAAAAAATTATTGAAAATTGATAATTCTCAAAATTAGCCAATTTTGCCCTCAGAAATCATTATGTTGAGGAAAAAATAAAAATCTGAAACTTTCAGGAAATGTAGTCCCCACCTTCATCTTTTCAGTCCAGTTAGTCTTGTTTTGTTATTTTTATTCCTTTAAAAGATATATTAATTTTTTTAATGCCCGTTTAGTAGCGATATTGTTAGTTTTATTTATAATTTAAAATTTAGATGGCTTTCATGTTTGGTGGAGAAGTGTCAGAACTGTCAAAAATATTTCATAAATATTATTTGTGCGTATTTTTTTGGTAAATTTTGAATATAACATAATATGTCATATTATGTTATATATAAAACTTTTAAAATCGCCAAAGGAATACCACAAATAATAATTATGAAACATTTTTGAGAGTTCTGATATTTTTGGTAGTTATGTTATATTTTATGTATTGAAAAATCATATATATATATATATATATATATATATATATATATATATGATTATATATTATACATTATACATTATAATTTGGCTAATTGGTGTTTAAAGAAGATAATTGGTGTTTAAAGAAGATAAAAAATATATTCAAGATCCTTATGGTTTATATCATTAAGTATAATTATACTTAATTATTATAATAAGTAATAAGTAAAATTAATAAACGTATAAAAATGCGTTAAGCAGTTTTTTGTCGGTTTCTTTCACAATTTAAACCAAGTTAGTCTTGTTCTATTATTTTGATCCCTTTAGTAAGGCACTGAATAGTTAAAGGTTATATGTATGTATTTTAAATGTTTGTGTTGGAAAAAAAATTACACAATTTGTAAATTCTTTAAATTTTAATTTTTAGGTAACTGGTTAAAATAAAACATGTTATAATAAAGGGGTTTATTTAGAATATTTTTTAGTTTTTGCTTATTTTTAACAATTTAAAACTTCTCAGAACTTAAATATTTTCTATAAGAAAGAGGTACAAAATTATGATATGTCCTTGCATTTTTAATTGCAATTAAATTCATGAATCTCGAACACTCTGTCATTTATTACACTTTTTGAAATCACAATTTAAATACGCACAAATAAAATTTATGAAATATTTTTGACAGTTCTGACATTTCTCTCACAAACATGAATTGACAAAGTCAAAGCCATCTATAGATGTATAAATTTTAAATTATAAATAAAACTAACAATATCGCTACTAAACGGGCATTAAAAAAATTAATATATCTTTTAAAGGAATAAAAATAACAAAACAAGACTAACTGGACTAAAAAGATGAAGGTGGGGACTACATTTCCTGAAAGTTTCAGATTTTTATTTTTTCCTCAACATAATGATTTCTGAGGGCAAAATTGGCTAACTTTGAGAATTATCAATTTTCAATAATTTTTTTAATAAAGAAATTGATAGTCTAGAAACTTAAAATAATAGTTACGTTTTCTATTGTATAAGTACTTTATACCTAAAAAAAATGAACCTTCTAAATTCAGTAAAATAGGCGCAGGAGCCAGACAAAAATCACAAAAATTGGCAAATTATCATGAATCTTTAGTGGTTTACCATTCTTTTATGAGATTAACTAATTGGATAATAATAATTAATATCGAAAACACACTTACTGGACAGTAAAACAAAATTAAAATTATTTCAATATTTGTCACAGAAAAAAAGTTCTGGCCCACTATAAGAGAGTAAGAAATTGACACTATTTCAGACTTCTAAGGGGTGCCAAATAAAAGTAAAGCAACAAAAAATTAAAACGGCAACGGATTTTCATATTTGACACTTAAAAGATCATCCTCAAATTTTTTCATCAAAATAAAAAATCATGCAGCGCACTTTTAAATTCATTTTTGGTGTTTTCATTTGGATTGACTCAAAAGCGTTTGGGGCTTTGTCAAAATTAATTAACAAGGACCTTGCTTTTTGGCATAATTTCTCTAATTTAATTTAATTATTTATACCATCCAAAAACTACTTATGTATATTTTTATTTATTTATTCGTTATATTAAAAAACATTATACTTTGTTTTAAGGCATTAATAAAATTTAAAAATTTTATTGCAATTTTCGAACAGTGCGCGTTATACAAACACCACAGGCTGTCTATTTTTCGGTTCATGGCACTTCCGATCTCCAACAATGTTTATAAAGAATTGTGTTGGATTTTGAAATTCAACACTCAGTAGGCTCCCTTCGTAATTAAAAGCAAAGGTAAAAACTTAATAGAACAATTTTAGGGAAAAAACATTTTAAAGACAGTATTGATGATATGGGCGATTTTATATTTAAAAGACATAATTTGATAACAAGTTGTAGAAAAGTGTTAAACTTCCATTATTGAATTGTTATTAACATCCATGACAATAAAAATGACTCACAGTATTTCACAAGTATTCAATTGGTATTCAAGACGACAACAAAATGCAATAAACATTATTGTATCATCCATAAAATATGTAAAACTTTCCTAATAGTATATTATGTATTAAGTTTTATAAACGCCGTTTTAGTTACGAGTTTTATAAGGCACGAGCAAAGCTTGCGAGCGAGTGTTTAATAAAAACGAGTGTCTAGAGAAGTTTATAAAACGAGTTGCATACTATACTTTATCTACGACGAACAGAAATAGGAATTTAAAGCCAATTTGAATTTATAAATATTTGTCATTTAACGAATTTAACCTTACTTTTTCGCAATTTATAATAAGGCTAACTTCAGCCCGTGACTAAAATTCCCAAAAGCCACTGTTGTTAACTTCAGCCCGTAACCAATACGCTATAAAGTCAACGTCGTATTTCGACCACGATAGTCAACAGGTTTTTATCATAGACATATTAACATGTAGATGGTTTTTATAATCTACCATTTTCAAAATGGTAGTGGTGGCTGGTGGATTTTGGGCACAACCGTATCTCAGTTATTAGACATGGGACCCACATCAAATTTATTTTATTTGAGTTTATAATGACTTTATAAAGTTTATATAGTTCTGCGCAAGCAGAATTCAAATTAAAGTTTGCGAAAAAAAAATTAGTTTTTAAGTGTTCCCCCCAGCCTCCTGCCCCCCAAATTAAGATCATTCAAATTAAAGTAGTACAATATTTAATTCACTGAAGTTTATTGACAAATTTCAAATTTTATTAAAAGTTTTACAGATTTTATACCATTTCTATTTTTTTTTTAATTTAGTAAAAAAAATAATAAAAATTTAAAATGGTATAAAACCGAGGGGTCACCCACACCTGGGAATCCCTGGACATTTTAGAGTGGGAATACCATAGGAATACAATGGAATTACATAGGAATACAATAAAATATAATGGGAATACATGGGAATCCCTGGACGTTTTCCCTTTGGGTGGTTGACCCCTCGTATAAAACCTGTAATTCTTGAAATTTTTTAATAAAATTTGAAATTTGTTGATAAACTTCAGTGAATTAAATATTGTACCAATTTAATTTAAATTACCTTAATTTGGGGGGGCAGGAGGATGGGGGGCACACTTAAAAAATAAAAACTTCAATTTAAATTCTTCTTGCGCAGAACTTGTCTATATAATGTCATTGTAAATTCATATAAATTTGATGTGGGTCCCATGTCTAATAACTGAGATATGGGTGTGCCCAAAATCCACCAGCCGCCACTGCCATTTTGTTTGTTTTCTGTTGTATACCAATTGTTTTAGCATTGTTTTTTCCATTGTGTTTACGAGATTTTTGATGGCTTTTAACATAATATATTATATATTAATATGCATATTATGACACTTTTTACTTTTTATAAAGCCAAACCACAAAAATGTATGTAATAATATATTATAATGATTTTTTTAAATTATCACTTTTATCTGTTTTCGTTAAGTTCTACAAATTGGTAATTTTTTTGAAATTGTTTCGTAATTAATTAATAATTTGGTCTCTTATATTTTAATACCTTTATACCTACTTTATATTTCTATAATTATGGTTTTTTAAGTAAGAATTTTTATTTTATAATTTCTATAAATAGGTTTTAAAATCTCCAGAAAGAATTTTTTCCAAGTATTATAAAAAATAACTTTATTCATAAAACCACTTACATTATTCACTAGAAGTCCGCAATAATCAGGCGCTCCATGCGTGGCCAAGAGATTGATATCCAAAGTCACCGATTTGCCACCATCGCCAAGGGCCATACAAGAAGGTGTCCTGAAATCCCTGGCGTGAATAACTCCTGCGAAGGAACTGTTGAAGTTCACTCTTATATTCATGTGACCGGCCTTGCAAGTAGCAGAAACCTGCGGGATGAAGTCCGTGTCTATAAGTTGAGCATAAGTCTGAAAAAATAAAAAGTTTTTTAATTATAATCTATTGTTATTGTTAAATATTAAAGATTTCGATAGTTAATAAAAAAGATTTGGCAACATAACATGCCCTAATTTTTTTCATTCTATTATATATCAAGAATCATGTTTAAATATTTGTAACGGTTCACACTTCTTATGAAATGTTTGTAGTGCATAAGGATGGTCAAAAAAATCTTGATCGTAAAAGTTGAAAAATCATTAATTAACATTTTTTCAATAGTTAAAGATTTAAACAAACATGTCAGTTTAAATAATTAAAAACTATTATTAAGTACTTTTAAAAGCAGATGCTTCTGGCAGGTGGTCTTAGAAAGAAGAATGTATTAAGTCTTTATTAAATACAATTACAGATGATTTTTTTGATATGAATAGAAACTTAATTTGGTTCGCTCTAATAAAATTTTAAATGTGTTTGCAATCTGACACAAGTTAGCCTTCTATTAACATTTTGTAACAACCCACACATTTTTTTCTTAAAAAAGTACTTCAAGATTGATTGTGTTTTTGTATTTATATCAAGGACAATTTAATTTTTTATTGTTAAGATTAATTTGAATAAAATATAATTCATGGTTTTACTACAAGGAATTAAATCTTGAAAAGCACTTAAGTTAAAAGCTTTACATCTTGGACTAAGTCTAAGATATGGCTTATAAGTCTAAGATATGGCTTATAAGACCACGTAACTACAGCAGTGTAATTTTCTTTTGTAATCTAAAAATCTAGTTAATACAAAGAACAATAAATTTGCATTGGTTTTGTGTTACTCAAAACCAGCAATTTAAGTTATATAAAGCAAAATTAGGAAGTAACTACACGTATAGTTAGGCTACTTATTAATCAAGGTGCTTTCATGGTCCAGAGCCTTCGCGATGCAAGGGATTTATGATTTATAAGATAAGTTAGCATACTTGAAACCAATAAATTAAACATTGAAAGTTTCCTGAAAGCGAATATTAATGAAATGGTTATTGTGAATTATATCATAATGCTGTGTTATCATTTACAGTTAGTTACATTTTTAGGTTTATTCTACTTGTTTACACACAAATAATTGCAAATATTTTGAACGGATATCCGCGTGCATTGTGTATGATTGCATATGCAAAATGCATTTGTTAATTCACAGAATTCGTTTTAAATTTGTTTGAGAATTTTAATTGTAGTGCCACATTAAGAATGTATCTTCATGGGAAATGATAAGAGTAAAAGTGACTTCATGTCAAAAAGTTATTATGTCTAGAATATAATTAGTCCTTAGATATAACCGGCACTACACCATATGAGAACATACACACAACATGGCCTAAGGATATATTTTTAAAAATGTGATTATTTTTGAATATTTTTATTTAACATTTTTATATTATGTTTAGTCAAGTCTTCACTCAAATTTTATCACACATGAACCATTATTAATTATAAAAAAGAATAAAAAATCAAATCAAAGAATTTTGAAGAATAGCCCTTCTTTATAGCTTTTTGCAGACATGCTCAAAAAAATTGAGGTATGGATATTGGGTAGAAAACTCAATAACTCGATTAACTTGGAAATGGATATTAAACATAAAGCATTGTCCTGCATTAATAAAAATTAGGGTCCAATTGCTGCAGCATATGGAAGCACAACATGTCGGAGTATTAGATTTAAGTAATCAATTGATCTTAAAAAACCTTGTAAAGAAACAAGATCAGTTCTTCCTCCCCTTACCATCTATACCATCTGTACCATCTCAATAACTGTGAACCTCTTGTAGACGTGACAATGTCCTCGGCTTTCTCCATACTCCTGTTCTTTTACTATCTGGATGACTATCTGGATAAAGTCCAAACCTGGATTTATCAGTAGGCAATAGTTCAAAGTTCAGTTTTCAAGTTTTGGGCCAAAGCTAATCTTGCTGACCTATTGGAACTCTTAGAGGTCTTCTAGCAGTCAGATTAGCTTCATGCAAACGCCTTCTTACAGTTTGGGTACTTTGTAACCTTATGAACTAACTTGGAAGCTTTCACAGTTACATTTTTTCGCGCACGTGAAATTAAAAATCGGCCTTGATTTAGTATTGTTGCTCGTTGTTGGTCCAAATGTCGTTCACGAACACCACCTGTGTTACGATGCTGCCAGAGTCTACTGGCCTTTGACACAGCAGTTTGAGAAGCACCAGATTGTAGCGTTCCCTGTAACTCATTTGCTCTTCTGTAAAATGTTGTATCCCCGTGATTATCTAAATTCAAAGCACTTACTATGTAGGTAGGTATCTGCTTGGAAAAAACGTTTGAAAAACCAGGAACAATCATTATTTTGATTAGAATTTGCAGGATGCACATTAGGGTGTCCCAAAAAAAAAAGAATATTTTTTTTCTTCTCGTCTCTTGTGAAAATATGTTGGTTTGTCATGTTTTAAGAGCCCTGTCAAAAGATCAGCACCATTAAAAAATTTTTAGGGGTCGCTCAAGATTTTTAAAAATTACCAAAATCGTCAAAAATTGGATTTTTTTTAATTTTAATTTTTTTTCTCGTTCCGATATTATTTTTTAATTTAAAAATAATAATGATTCTGAAAATTTCAAATCGATATTTTAATTTCTAAAGGTCGCTCAAGATTTTTTTAACTTTCAAAGTAGAGTATTTTGAATGATTTCGAGCGACCTCTGAATATAAATATCAACGAACTTTTAGCGACCTTTAGAAATCAAAATATTGATTTGAAATTTACAGAATTTTTATTATTTTCAACCTAAAAAATAATATCGAGACGAGAAAAAGAATTAAAATAAAACAAAAATTCAATTTTTGACGATTTTGAAAATTTTTAAAAATCTTGAGCGACCCCTACAAAATTTTTAATCGAGCTGATATTTTGAAAGGGCTCTTACAGCATGATAAACTAACATATTTTTATAAGAAACAAGAAAAAAAAATAAATTCTTTTTTTTTGGGACACCCTAATGCACATAAATAGCAGATATGTCAGATATCAGGATTAACAATTGGAATATTTATAACTGAGTTTGCTTCCAACTATCACTTGAATCCTATCCTGCAGGACATCAATTGAATCGGTGAGATTAAGAACAGTCCAAAAGTTAACATTTTGACAAAATATTTCATAAAATCAGTTTTATTATTTATTATATATAAAATGCCTTTTTGTGAGAATATTTTATCTATTTTATAAAATATAATAATTATATTTTGTAAAATGATTTATATCTTTTCACAAAAATGCATTTTAAACTTTGATTTTAAAAATAACACTAGTTTACAGCCATTTTGCCCAGCATGTCCCACTATGATTTTCTTGGGTAGTTTGGCTCACTAACCGCAAAAATCACACTTAAATTTTTTTTCATGGAAGCGTTTTCTAGATATAAATTTTCAATTGTTTTTTTTAAATTTTGGTGTTTTGAAGTTTTAGAGTATACTTCGAGTTCTAATTGATCAATTTGACCAAACTAGCACTTAAATCAAACGTAATTGAGCCCTCTACAACTTTCTTTTGTAGAGTTTTGGTATCGGCTCAGTAGTTCGATACTGGTGATTTTATGAAGTTGAATAAGTCCTTTTTTTTTTACAAAAATCGAGGTCGAAAATTTACATATCTTTCTGGGAAAGATAGAAATCAAAAAGATAAGTCCAGTTTGATTTATTTTATTTATCCATGGATAAATGGTGAAGTTATGAATTTTTCAGTGGAGGAGCAAAATTTAGTTTTTCGAGAATTTTTACGTTTTTTCTTCATTTTATTGAATTATATTAAATTTCTGTGGGTAAAAGGCAAAAGGGGATAAGTCAAAAAAAGCATTTTTTCAATAGAGCCTTTAACGTATTCGCATTAATTCAGGAAACATATTTATGGTTAGCTAACAAAAGCGTATACCCTCTAAACAGAAATATATTTCCTGAATTAATACGAATACGTTTAAGGCTCTACTGAAAAATTGCTTTTTTTGACTTATCCCCTTATGCCTTTTACCCCCAGATTTAATATTGAACATTGATTTTTATTTTAAACATTAAATATTGAAATTAAATTATATATTGAATATTGAACAATAAATATTGAACATTGAAGATATTGAAAGTTTTATTTTATTTTAATAAGCATAGGTTTAAAAAAATTCTGGCTTCTTTGTTTTTTATTGCTTTTGTATTCCGTTTCTCGTAGGAGGGACCAAATGTAATCACCCATCATTGCTGCACCCCGTGAATAATGTTTTCGGTGAAAAAAGTACATAAAAAACATATTACAAAATAAAAGAACAAAATAAAATAAAAATCGTCAAAAAGCTGAATTTTGGTCTTCCACTAAAAAATTCATAACTTCACCATTTTTCCATGTATTTTTATCGACATTAGCTTGTTCTTTTTGTAAAAATATCAACTTCAAGAAAAAAATTCAAACTGTAGATATCTGTTTGATTTAAGCCCTTCCCAGGACGATATGTAAATTTTCGACCTCAATTTTTGCCATAAAAACGAATTTTTTAAGTTATTAAAATCGCTAGCGTCAAAATACTTATCTGACATCAAAAGTATGTAAAAGAAAGTTTTAGAGATCTCAAATACCTTCAATTTAAGGGCTTGTTTTACCAAATCGGTCAATTAGATTTCAAAAACGTCAAACACCTCCGAAAATTGAAAAAAAAAACAATTAAAAATTCATATTTTAAAAACGCTTCCATAAAAAAAAATTGAGTGTGATTTTCGTGTTTAGTGGGTCAAAATACATGGGAAAATTATAATGGGATATGTTGGGCAGACTTTTTTTTTAGATTTTGTAAACTAGTGTAATTTGTCAAAATAAAATGTTTGGATTTGTACTGTTCTTACCGATCCAATTAAGTAACATCATGACAACCTTACTAAGGTTACCTTAGTAACTAAATTTTTGCAAAATAAAGTAATCTTCATTAATATTCAGTAATTTTTCATCGTGATAACAAATTAAATTATAAATAACCACGGCATT